AGAGTGCGTACGTTGAAAGCTCCAATGTGTAGTTTGGAACGAGGTTTCAGTAGACCTGGGACATAGTTTTGAGCACTAGAATCGTTGGCTATGGTGACACTTGAGGAGGAAGCCGAAGGAGGAAGTTTAGGGTTGAAAGTCGATGTAGGAGGAATAATAGGAATTGAAGAGGAAGGTTGATTATGAATACAGTGGTCTTGCGTGTTGTTAGAGGTATGAGGGCGGTTATCACTTCCCTGTTGCCCACACCGTGGAAGGGTTCTTCTGGAGGTACCTGAAAAGGAAATTGGATTAGAAGTGGTCTCAGCGACCTGAGAGCGTGATCGCAGTGCCCAAGGGACAACTGCTTGAGGCCGGTCGCGCACGGCCTTTTCGTGGGAGGTTTTTGACGTGTTAGCTCCGTTCTTTAAAGGGCCTTACCGCCGGAGACGGAAATCCGTGAGGTAAGGTGAGGTGTGCATTTTTAGGGTCGACCTTTTCTAACCCCCACCCTCCTTGTGGGAAGGCAGCATCGCTGTCATGCTGGTTGTCTGAAGGAAACACCTTACTGCTGTCACACCTCTGTACAGTCAGCAGTACGACTTCGCCTTCGGACCTTAGGTTTGTTGCTCTTCGTCTTACCGCTCTTCAACTGACCTGTCGTACATGGTAGGACCTTGAGGAACGGTTGTTCCAGCCAGTATAGCTCGGTCGCTTCATCACGATAGGCAAGCCCGACCACCACGTCAATGTAGCAACAACGATCGGAAATAATATGGTAAAAGTATAGCTTAGAGATAAGTTTAAAACAATTGGGAAGATGTTTTCACTCGTGTGGAAATTCATATCTCCCTCTCTAAATGCTATCAAGTGGCCACGATCATACCACCAACGCCAAACAAGTCTCACTCACTGCATTCACGCGGCAGTACTGTTGTCTACGAAATTGAGAGGACGAAAGGCGAATGTTCGGGCTGGTAGATACGGAGGATCCACTTAAGGGAGTTGGAAAACCCCGATTCTAAACCAATAGTGTACATAGGTTTCAGTATACTAAGGAAACAAATCACGTATGAACTAATTATTGGTTACCGGCTAACATTGGACTGCATCTCCCTATAGATTAGATCTTTATGTGAAAGGTACGAAGTGTGACCATCTAAGCAAACCATCTGCTTCGGTCTGGGCACCCGACCAGTATCACAGCCCTCACACAAATCGCATATCTATTTGGTGTCTCCTTGTACCAATGTTTATGTGTTTAAATAAATAAATAATAAATAAATCTAAGCCAATCATGAGATGGTTAGTTAATGTGACAAAAAAACCCAATAATATATTGTACATTATATAATAATTTCAAATATTTTTTGAGTTCATAAATCGATTGATTTTCGGTCACCATTAAAAACCAGAAATCATTGGACGGCTTTTTCGTTCTGGTATGGAACTCAGTGTTTCCAGATTTTTCATGCTGGTCTAGCTTCAATTGACTCACGATCTCAATTAATGAAATTACTGTAATATCCACAAAAGCCTCTTCCGATACTAACTAACATACGCTCACTAGTGACTGGCTCCAAGAGATATTTCCTGGAGTTCTAGTGAGAAGCAGTGATTAGTGGGGTTCAACCGGGTGTGTTGTGGGATAGTAAGGCACTGAAGACAATGATGATAGACAGTGGCGCAATTTCGTGGATTGGTTGGAGTTAGACGTTAACACCGTTGAATACCAGCCGGCTCAGTGGTTTATAGTTTAAGAGATCACGATTAAGACTGATAGATCCTGGGTTCGAATTTCGAGGGGAGTGATCGTAGATGAGCACTACTGAGGTGTCCTACAATAGGACGAACGGGCCGTTCAGTGCATCCAGATTTCCCATGGTGGTCTAACTTCAATTGACTCATGAATTCAACTATTAAATTTAATTCATTATTAGGCAGAGTAATGAAATATGTCTAGACCGTATGACTAGTCTGTGTTTTGTTTACCTTGAGAAACCTATTGGACAATAATGAAGATGACATTGATAAAATTAAAAAGAATGTTTCATGAAGTATTTGGTTTTCTCTGTGTGTGTGTGTGATGTTTCAAGTTGATATTTGTTGACTGTTCAATCAAACAACTTTATTCTAAATGGTTTTGCGTTCTGAGACACACACACATGTATATGAAGTATATGAAACGCTTAATCTTGTGATCTTTACGTTACACCAGATATGCAATGTACCCTACTATTAGATTATATCATAACATCTTGCAATCTGTACTAATAGACTTCCTGACGGATTCGATCCCGTGTCACCCAGCTTCACAGTCAGACACGTGACCACTGAGCTATCCGGGCCGCGGTCGACTCACCTAGACTGGTGGCCGCATTGCAACTCGATTGATAGCATTCTATATGCACTAATAAGGACTTGACACACATGACATTGATCACCACACAGTGATCAATCAATTGTGACAATCGAATGTATTCGATCTGAGAACCATACAGTAAATACTTCATTTGCAAAACATCAATCAGTCGTCTCAGACTTCTTTGTTTTCGTTCTCTTTTCTCTGAACTTGTTAACCTTGTACCTCCAGGCATTTCAATTTCGATTGATGATACATATTACTGATATCTGTCGATATCAGTAGCACACAACACAGTAGTACATGCTATTTTCAATAATCACCTAATTGTAATAAAAATATCAAAATAATTCAGGAAAGCGTTTCACATGATGCTAATTCCCTCTATCCTCAATGGGAAAGAAGACTTGAATATTCAACCAAGCTGGACTGTTTTTCCAGACAACCACATTGAACTTTATTTTTTTCATATTTTTACACACGCACACACGAAACTTCAACTCACCACTACTTCATATCGCAAATGCGTACAATTTTCATACCCACAATGTGACACACAGACTAATCCAGCGACAGGGTCACACAAATTCACCTTGACCAAAATTACTTGACATAGACATATTCAGACCTATTGTGATTTTGATTGTACTAAAAATATTTTGCATTGTTTTCTTTGTACTATTTAAATTTGTGTTAATTTAATGTTTGGTTACTTATTTACTCTGAAGAAATGGCTTAAAAAATAAGTCGCGAAACATCAGAAATACAATATTTCTTCTCATTAGGATATAACAAGAATATACTTATATTTATGGCTAACATATAGATATCACATTACTAGGGATAATTCATTCTAACAGCACTAAGAGTTGTACACTTAATGTTCATTTCTTCTGTAAAGTTTATCGGTGTATATAATGAACAATTAGATGTTAACTAAATGTTTTCAGTGTTTTGCATTATTTCCATAATAAAGATCTTACCATTGGACTTTTAATCTAGCGCATTTTACGAATACATTGAATTTTGTTATCCATTACTCATTATGATCCTCAGTGAGTTAATTTTAGCCATAAGCAATGCTGAATTTCCTATTTATAGATATTTAATAGTTCAATCTAAGATACCTAACTTTACTGACTTTTCTCCTTTAACTTTCCTTATGGAGTCTTTTATAAGTATCGATCTTAAGCCTACAATTGTTATATTAGAAGAATTCGCCGTTGCAGGCCTGTATTTTTCACTAATTGGACCGTTTTGGTATTGTGTAGTAGTTCAGTAAGGTCACTTAACTACACATGGAATTTGTATGCCGGCTTTACAGATATTGTAGAGATTCATGATAAAAGAATCCTTGAGGCTTGATTAGTGATGTTTTTAGTTTAACTTAACACAGGGTTCCTTCTTGTAATAATTACATTCCGTTAGCCTGAACCACTTGCACTGGTAACAAATACGGTGGAAAAGAAACGAGTATGATGACAGGCTAGATGAATAGCAGTTTCCAATAGCTATTCATATTAAAAGGATGGCTCCTTATGGAACCAAACAATCATAATGCACTAGTGACATTCATTGATCTAAGATCTGAAAATTTACTGCCCCTGGTTATACTACTCTGTATTTGACATGATTGAACTTCGTGAGACAAGAATTTTAGTCAGTAATGCTTGACAATAGGCAGGCCAAACCGCTAGTTGTCTACACTGCACACTACACAGAATAAGAACTTGATATTCGATCCACTGAGACATTTTCAGTCAGTCAGTCAGCTACAACGTAGGACCAGGCTGCCATACCGCATCAGCACAACAAGATGAACACCGGATTCATAGCAGTGGTTGGGTCAAAGGTGGTAATATATAAGAGAAAGATTGCATATAGAGATATAGTACAAGAAGAAAGAATTGGTTCGTAGAAAGAAAGATATGTAGTGATTTTAACGTCTTAGTTTAAGGGAAGACAGAGAGTGTATACACCGACGCCACTGTGATCGATTCTGAGCCATGTCACCAAGAGTCTCCAACCATTGGTTACGATAGTCACGCGGACCCCGACCAAGTAGTCTACATCTACCAACATGGCTCAGACTAGAAGTTAGTGACTTCAAGCAATGATGCCACGTTGTGGTTTGGCCGCCCCTAACTTTCTTCCAACCATCTCCAATACCGGATAGCATTGCACTTCGTGGTAATCGGTGTTCGGGCATACGTAACACGTGGCCCAACCGTCTCAGTCGATGAAGATTCATAACCTCATCAACTGATTTACCATCATTCCCTAATACCCTGCGTCTAACCTCACTATTACTTACCCAGTGATCTCAGCAATATTTCTAAGGCATCTGTGGTCAAATACTGATAGCTTACGAGTATCTGAAACATTTTAAATACCTAGAACTCCTAGTACTTACCCCTAAATAACGTACAAGCATCAGATTTAAATAAAGCGATGTAAGTAGCTGAGTAGAAATCAAGAAATGAAATTGGTGTCTGAATAATCGATGAACAGTTCACTACACTGATAATTAACTAAACATATTTGTGAAGCTACAATGGAAAAGGTGATAGCTTAAATGAGTACAACGACATGGGTTGTAGGATACTTATTAAAACATTCCAGAAAGTAAGCTATACTCATGATAACATAATTTAGTTACTTGGACTAGGACACGGCGACAAAGGCCAGATTTTACAAGGGATTTAGCCACCCAACGTGCTGCATAAGCTGCGGACCGATCAACTTTGGAATAATCTTTCCCAGAAAATGCCCCACCTCCGTGTGCACCCCAGCCTCCATATGTGTCTACAATGATTTTCCTGCCTGAGAAAAAATTAATCAACCAAAAATAATGGAAATGAGAAAAAATCTTCATATGTTGTAGTCTAGTTATGAACCGTGTACAATGAATTATCATGTAAATAGAAAATACAAAAATCAATGATTAAATCAGTTATAATTTTGTCATAAGCAGCGTAGAACCTAGCATATACGTGCAGCGATTCAAGTTATCCCATTCTATCAGGACGATGAGATGAAACTATCAAGAAAAATATCAGAGGGGCGTGATCAGCAACAATATGAACAGTATGAATTTGGATGATCCCGTTGTTTATATTTGCACCTACTAACATGGTGCCCAAACGCTCTGGTACGGACGAGGGTGGGGAGTCAGCTCTCCATCTAGAATTGCTTTCACATGGCCACCTGTGCACAGTAACTATCACGGAAGTCCTACTCACTCCCTTCTCGCTACTGGGGTGTTATTGATGAAATTGAGAGAACGAAAAGCGAATGTCCGGTGCTATAACTCGGTTGGTGGATATGGAGGGCCCACCTAGGGCAGTTGGAAAACCCTGATTACAAACCAATGTTGCACATTATCTCTAAAATCCCGAGGGAACAAATGGCGTATGAACCTATTGTTGATCACCGGTTACCGTGAAACTGACTCTTAAAGTTGCTCCACTACCTTGTGGTTTAGACCTCTAGGTTGAAGGCTCAGGGAGTGGCTCCCTAAGAAAACCACCTGCTTCGGTTTGAGCTCCCGAGCAGTATCTCAGCCCTTACACAAATCAAATGAGATTTGTGTGGTGCATACATATCTGGTGTCTTTTTGTGCGAATGTTTATGAGTTTAAATAAATAAGTAAAACTAATATGGCTTAGTCCAACTCTTGATTCAACCGAGTGTTTTCAACTTCCTACGATTTAAAATAATGTTTTTACAATGCATATGAAATTTATTGTTCAGAATTTACAATAACATCACAGATTTCGTATAATACAGTTTGTACATTCGTATACTGGGATATTACATGACACTTAAAATGCGATACAACCGCAAACGTCTGCACAGACACTGACGACGAACGATACTCCTCTATCCAGATGAAAAATGTGAATGAGAGAACAGATTCTCTCCGCCGATGGATTCGATTTCGTGTCACAATCAATGAGCTATTTGGGTCGCGACTGACCTATTTACAATTGACTGTTTGTCGTAGAATACAGAAGAGAAAAATGACGTAACCGAGTGCATGTATCTATTTAGATAACTGACCCACATAATAAGAACGGATGTATACAGCATAATTAAACGATATTTCATGATAAAAATAATACTAAAATGATGAATGTCTTATGTTGTTCAAATGGAGACAATAACAATATTATTTTCTGAATTGGTTATATGTTATATGTTAATTTGCCCCCAAATGCCCTGATATGGCCGAGAGTGGGGGGGGCCCGCCCTCCCTCTCGAAATGCTTTCACACGGCCGTGTATACAGCCTCTGCCAGGGAAGTCCTACTCACTGCCTTTTCGTGGCGAGGGTGTTGTTTACGAAATTGAGAGGATGAAAAGCGAATGTCCGGCGCTTTAACTGGATTCCAAACCAAGTCAATAGTGCACATGGGCTCCAGTATCCTGTGGGAACAAATGACGTATGAACCAATTGTTGGTCACCGGCTACCATGGGATTGCATCTTCTCACGATGCTCCACTACCTTGTGGGTTAGACCTTAAGGTCAAAGGCTCGGGGCGTGGCCCCGTAAGAAAACCACCTGCTTCGGTCTGGGCACCCGGGTAGTATCACAGCCCTCACACAAATCGAATAATTTATGTGGTGCATATATATTTGGTGCCTCTATGTACCAATGTTTATGTGTTTAAATAAATAAATAATATGTTAATTTAGACTACGAAGGAGAAATGCAGAGCTACTTCGATAATTATATGTAAGTTAATAGACACTATTTGAATTACATGTATTAAGATAACATCGTGTATTGTGAAAGTGCATATTTATTGCGGTTACGAAGAGGTGATGGTCTGGATTGTTAAACTGTCCTATCTACTCAGAGTGTTATACCTTTTTATTATGAAATAATTCAGAGAAAAAGCCGATTTAAATAAAATTATTTAAAATCTCCCAAGCTTTTCAAAAAATAACTTACCAGTTAAACCAGCATCACTTTGAGGACCACCAATTACAAATCTTCCAGCTGGATTTAAATGATATTTAGTTTTTTCATCTAAGAGATTTGTAGGGATTACTTCATTAATAACATATTCCATTAAATCAGCTCGAACTTTTTCTAGAGTTACATGTTCATCATGTTGTGTAGAAATGACCACTGTATGTACTCGTAAAGGTCGACAAGCTCCATGATCATTTAAATACTCTACGGTCACCTATAGTAAACGAAAGAACTAAGTGTCAGACTATAATTAATAATAATAATAATCGTCTAAATTATACATCTTTCCTACCAATATACAAAAATGAAGTGAGAGAAAATATGAACTACTATTATCTTAATTATTCATTTAATTGTTTTCTCGTTCAACAGAACAGTTCAGCCAGTCAGTAACAACGTAGAACTTCGTACATACGTACATCAGTTCGAGATGCCATACCATATTAGCACAGAGATGCAGTTGTTGACTCAAATCCCGTAGTGATAGAGCAGTTGATAAAACTGAACTCATTTCGAATAACCACTGATTGGGTTGTCCGAGAATTAGAGCAATAAGATATTATACACATGTTTGATATGATCTGTACTCTTCTCTGCTTTAAATCAGAAATATTTGTTCGATTTATTTGTAGACAGGACTGAGTGGTCACTTATTTATTGACATGGTGTTTTCGGTTTATTTGTTGAGGATCATGGCTGAGATTATCCCCAACGTTTCTAAGTGTCCTACGTGTGTCGTAGACAGAACTTCCAGTTTTCGGTTCAAACAGTATAAGTGCTGCATATTAAAGTGGAAATTTCATTTTAAGCCCGAATCGGTATTGTATTTGTGTTTTTCAACCAACATTTTGAGCTGTGCTACATGTTGGTACAAAAGAAAGTTGTAAATAATCTTATACCAAAAGGTCTAACCATGGAACTTGGTAAAATTGAGCACTAAACCACACACTAGATAACACGACATTAAACATAAGTTTACAAAATCAATTAAAATATTGTTTATAACAGAGGAACATAAATGTCGAATTTCTTTTGTAGTAGGTAACTTTACTTATTTCCTGCATAACTCCCCATTATAAAATATTACTAAAATTCAGTAGCTGATGTCATAATTGAACCATTTTTATGACTTGCATGCTATGGAGCATAATATTTTTCTATAAAGGCAAAGCTCTAGCCCTATTTATCCTTAATTGTATTTCCATATGTATTAATTTACTTTCCTACATCTAATGACATTACTCCAACTCTTCACTGTTTACCCTCTAAGTCTGCCGTTACACGGAATTGAACTGTGAGTACATTATGATTCAAGGTTTGGGTATCTTTGTTGTTTACGCTGTTTGCTATAATAGTGCTGAATTTTTACAACAAAAAAACGTTACTCGATCCTTAACTTCAAGAGTAACTGAATGATTGGATTCAAGATATCTACTACTAGTGTATGATGTTTCAATCATTTTCCGGAATAAGCAGGAAGATTGTGACCAATTTCGATAGTCGACCTTGAAAGTTGAGAACGATGAATAATTTGAGCAAATTTCTACAAATGTAAATAACATTGTGGGACGTGATTTACACCTTCGAAATGCAAAGTACTCTACAAGACTGGCATGAGCTTATTACCTGCACTCACGCCTTTGGTGCGACTGTGACGTTAATCTGGCTGTACAAGACCAGGTTCACAACGGATCAGCGAGTATTATTTTGCTCTATGTTTGTGAAACTTGACCTTCCCGAGTTGAGGACATTCGGGAACTCTTTTGCTGACTATCATCGTCTTCGAATGACTGCTGACATTTAATTGGAACACCATGTTAGTAATGCTGAGGTTTGGAAGTTGTGACCACAACTCAATTAGCGTCACCATCACGAAACACCGGATTTCGGGGCTTGGACATGTGTTACGAATGCCATCCCAGAGGTTTCCACGTCATCAGTTGTTTGCCAACGCTGAGACGAAATGGAAAAAGCAGAGGGGTGGTCAGATTATGACATGATGGAAAGCTGTATACGACTGGTATATCGGTTCATCATGACCACGCCAATTGGAGTACTAGGAATAGTGCAACTCGGTGGAATGAGACGTTATCAAAATCGGTGTAAAACAAGAGCCTATGCGGACCATGCTGTAGTTTTTCATACTCGTCACAGGAGTGAGAGGAAATATCTTGACCGAAATTGTTCCTCCTAGCTGTATTTTTATGACTGAAGTGTCCTTCCAACCACAAACTGTTTTTTTCAATAACCTTATCCATTTATTTATTTTGATTACACTCCAATCTTCCTTCCCATATTTCTCTAAAACTCCATTTCCCTATTTACGTGGCGCATACTTATTTTGGCACCCACTTATATCAGTATTTGTGTTGTAAATAAATGTCGCGAGTCAATGAAACTAGACAAGTTCGTTTATCTTTGCAACTGTGTGGGTGCTAACTGGTGGTATTATATATGAGCCCATTCTATGTAACAACGAAAGGTAGAGCAGTTTATATCAATTTTTAGCTATTCATAGAACTATGTTGATGTTAGTCTGGCTGTAAAACACGAGTATGCGACGCATCACTGAGACCAGTTATATGTTCTACTTGTAAAACTTAGTCTTTTATAGGTTGACAATGTTTGGTGAGTGTTAGGTCATTTCTGGTCTCCAGAAAATTGCTCATATTTAGTGGTAACGTTGTGTCAATAATACTGAGATCTGTGAACGTTTTTTATAATTATGGTAATCTGATTTGTAACACAGACTGAACACCTACTCCAGTGACTACTGTTGGTAATCTTTTGTACTGAAATATTTGTCATGAAATGACGAAAGTAAAAAGTAAAAACGTTAATACCATATTTTCTACTAGGTTCAAACTACTAATATTATCATCACATAAACAGACAAGATACCAATTATTTGAAAAATACGACACACTTATGCTAGTAGAAATATTTAGAAGCATAGCTTAGAAATCAAATGTCTTATGAAATAACCGAATATCCTTTATGTAAGAGATTAATGATAGTCAGACATTAACGTAGAGCCTGGCAAAGATGGGCGTTTGCTCAAGTTACTATACCAGGTTAGCACGGTAAGATAAAATTAACATGATGTAGGGCATAAGAAATGTAATGTACTGTAACGTAGTACATATGATAGGAAGACTAAGGGTTGATACGGCTTTAAGGGTCAGAAAGGAAAGATATACATAAAGTGATCTTGGAAGAAAGGAGTATAAAAAGTGGATACATCTGCTGTATTATAAACGACTTTGAGCCATGTTTTCTAAAGTCTTCAACCAATGGTCGCAGTTGTTACGCAAACTACAACTATACAGTCTGCATTTACCAACATGGTTCAGACTACGACAGTTGTTAACTGTTTACAATGTGAAGTAGGAAACATATTCTGAAATGTTTGAGAATCTTTATTATGAAAATAAACCTGAGCATATACGGGGCATATAAAATACCATGTTAAGACTGAACTTTGATTTTGTAGGATAACAAAGAAACTTACTTGAGTCTTTGAATCAGGACCCGCCCACGGCAAAATACCATTACGCCTACATGTGGCTATGCGTTTATTTAAAGAGTGTGATAGGGTAACTGTTAAGGGCATACATTCTTCAGTTTCGTCAGTTGCATAACCAAACATTAATCCCTATAAGAATAAATGAAGAAGTACGAAGTATTAAAAATATCCTTGTTTTGTGAAGTAATATCCCTGACATAAGTCTTATGACAAAAATATCATCTACTTAAAACAGGTGCTGAAAGATAGAAAGACTGGCATTTAATTTACCAGAAGCTATTGGATAGGGGAACACAACAAAACGATAAAATTCTGATTTAAATACGATCAGAAAGCCTGCTGACTACTGATAAATTTTACACTTTGAGCACCTAGCATATAATATCCCTAAGGCTATTATCCTACTAGAAAGATTATTTAAAACAATAAGTTTAAATGTACGCTGAAGGTAGTCTGTAGATTACAAGTTGAACTTAACAATGTACGACAATTGCACATTTTGCTTTTAATTATGATTGGACAAAGATCACAATAATGTGGCCAGTGAAAACCAGGAAACACTAGATGGCTGCTTCATCATAATACAAGACTCCTCAGTAGTCCGCAATCAAGACAGATCATGGGATTGAACGCAAGGACTTTAGTTTAACGGCTGCTGTTTATCTTTTAAGACCACCTTCCATTACTTCAAGAGGAGAGCTGTCATGCACGAGCTCCCCAAGTTATTCACTGGTGAGATGACCATTGACAAAGACAGTGGAAATCATCAAGTTGTCAGTTCACATTATAACTTGTTAGTTAGACAACAACCGACAACTAGGAAGCACTAAGTCATAGATACACGCTTCCGATCCTCATATTAAGGTGGAACAGCTAACTGAGGTTTCTTGATTTTTAACGGTTGTCTATGACCAGAACGTGATGTAAACGATAAGAATTCAACAATTTCGACACACTCTCGGTACTAAGAACCTCGTTTTCTTAAAAAGTAATTACATATATTTCTGGCCATTATTTTGACTCAGCCGACAGTCTTATTTGACTGCGGAATGTCTTTATCTGAAGATCATCATCCCGCAAGTAAATAAAATGACTAACATTCAAAAGTGCCTAAGGATAATTTTGGATTTACTGAATAAGAACTTCACATCTGATGGGTATTCATTGTCAAAAAACATAAAGTAACCTCTTCGAGTTTATTTATACCGACATGAGTGATGTGAAAGATAAGGATTTGGTTTATATTGTATTTTAACTCAGTACATGTATTAATCCAAGTATTTACAAGATCGCCAGAGTATCGCAAATATGGATAGCCCAAAGATTTATTAAATTTTATCATTGACAACAAACTAGATATCTGAACATTCCTTAGATAGGTGTCACAGTGTGAGATCAGTAATAACTTGAATATTCTAGAATTGACAATGTTGAAGTGGTGCAAAGGTAACTCGGGTAAAGCTGAGGCCGATGTAAACTTCATACGACCGAGCAACTGTGTAAAGACTAATTCTTCGATTAATCAACTGAAGTGCCAGAATCAGTAAATGGAAATCTTTGCGAGATCGCAATTTATAGACGACCTTTGCCTGACGTTATATTGCCCTTAATAATCTCGACTTACCTACCGGTTATAAATTAGTGAGAAATCAGGATTAAAATTTACAGCTGCATGTTAGGGTTAAGAACTATATTTAGAGTTTTTATCACGAACTGACATCAGCTATAACGCCAAAACGCTATTTAATCAAATGAATAGGTGATGAAATCAGACATATTATCTTATTGGTTCGTCCATCAATTATAGTCTCGCAAATACTCTAATTACGGCTAGAAGCGTGACAAAAGACGAATGAAACATCGGAAATTAAAATAAAACAAAAACACGACCGACAATCAGCACTATCTAGACAGATGACTTCTAACACTTCCGGGTTGCGTAATGTCTGAAACACTCATGAAGGGACAAACAGGGTAACTGAAATGGCATTTGAAGCTAATGACATGCAATTGGTGCATTATCATTGACAATGGTGGATTTCTCTTAGCGTCAAAATGCTGAGGACGTAGACAAGGTTAACAACACCGATCAATAAGGAGAATAGATCAAGCTGGGGTGCCTATATTGACAAACCGCATAAACCTCAGTGTAAACTCCTGAGTGAAAAATTCCAAAAAAGCTAGATAATTTACCAGTCGAAGTTGGGCGTTAGAAAACTTCAAAATAAACAAATATACGTATATAAACAACTCGTCAAACACGAAAAAAATTACCTGGTCTCCAGCACCAATATCTTCAATTTTTCTTCCTTCATGTACACCCTTCGCGATATCTGCACTTTGTTGCTCAATTACTGTTAAGACATTGCAATTCTTATAATCTAAACCCTTGTGAGTATCATCGTAACCGATATGCTTCACAACATCGCGAACAGTTTTCTGTATGTCAACTACAGCGTTCGACGAGATTTCGCCCCCAACAAGAATAAGTCCACTTTTTACGAAGGATTCTAATTTAGGAATAAACAATTTGGAGAGACATACCACATGCTACTTTAGCCTCAGGATCCTGGCGCAGAAACTCATCAAGTATGGCATCACTTATTTGATCACAAACTTTGTCTAACCCCTAAATATATGATATCGAGCGGTCAAATACCTGGATGTCCTTCACCAACAGACTCGGAAGTGAACAAAAATGTATCCGATTCGGCATTCCCACCGTTTGTAAAAGAAGGCATCCTGGGACAGTCTAGTCACACGGTCAGAAATTTAAATGTGCACAAATAGAGCAGAAGCAGAATCAATCACTTTAGCGTAACTAAACAATCTCAAAAATAAATAATTGCGCAAGTTTTCATGTTTATTCTAGTCAGGGATTTACTAACTACGAAATTTAGGCGATAGTAATCTGTACAACTGGCGAAGGTTAACAGTACCGAATACGGTGTTCTGGTAGAAAACTACTAAGTTATTCAGCATGTAGTATCTTTGTGACGAGCTTGTACAAACCAGTTGATTTCCCTGCCTTGGAATCTTCATGTCTAAAATGATTTTAAGTGTTTGTTTTGGTCGCCTAATCATTTAGCTGCACTAGCCCTAGTGAACTTAATAATTATATTATATAATATGAGTCTCGAGATGTGGTGTAATTGTAAGAGAAATACAGAGGGCGGTTTCAAAGTAATTGGTTTCTGTAAAAGAAGTACACATGTGAATGCTTAAAAACGAATAAGTGAGCCCTAACAGATAGTGCAGGATGGACATACCGCAGTTACTAAACTGAAGGCCAATATTCGGGACTAAGTATGTAGATTGAAGGGTCCTTTTACCATAAAAAAATCAATAGAGAGTGTATGACCATCCAGGATAAGGCTTTATTACTAAAATTCGCAATTGTAGCTTTCCGGAAGTTAGAGGTTATATATTGTAGGGCCAGTGAAATATCACTGAGCACTAACCAAATCATCCGGTAGTTGGGTCACTGAATATCGAACAGATCATCGATCCCTGTCAGGGCCAATGACAACCAACGCCCATAAGTTGATCGTATGCCATGGACTTTCACATGCGGTGGTGGTCTCGCTATCTTCTCTGTACTCATTCTTACTAATATATTTCCCTAATAACGTTCTTTATGTTGTACGGTCTTCAAAGCAGCTATAGTACTTTGATACTTCGAAGGGGTATTCCACGCTAGACAATGACCACAAAGTGTGACGTTGAAGCTGGCTGGTTCATCACACCATTCCCGTCTAACTCGAATAGGCCCTCAATCATTTGACATAAATCATCTAAGTTGATAATTAACAATATGAAGGTTTTAAATTAACAGCGATAAGGACTAATACTGACGTTTGTATCTAATATAGTCTGTATAGTCTTTGAAGTAGTAAAACTCCTCTGACCATGAGTTTTTAGTATGCTCAGCAGGCCTGATATTGCTAATTCATTTTTATTTAGACTGAGGGTAATTCCGAAACCACTAAAATGAATCACAGTGGAAGAATCAACCTAGTTTACATGACCACTTCAGTTCCCAACACTTTCCTCTGATTTCCGTTTCAAATGTCCTCTCCATATTGTCGCAGACAGCTTGATACAGCAGAAATGTTTCACCATCTGTCGCCTGTGTGTGTATACGCTCCGTATTACCTGATAGAGAGCTGGGATTAACCTTGAATGTGTCACAAGAGTCAGTCTCCATGCGGCCCAAGTGATGGTCGTGATAGGAATCTGCATTTATATTTTGGCGCCCAGAGTGATGGATAAACACAGAATAAAACTGACGCAGGTATTGTCACAGACCAATCGTTTGCCCTTCTTGGCCTCCGAAATTATGTAGCCACTGGGGAGCCGTAGGGTCAGTTCAACATATGAAATGCCTGCCAAGAATGCGTGTTTTCTAATTCTGTATGAACTCACAACAGCTAACATTTCTCTTTGTGTGACTCATTAATTCTTTTCAGACCGATTCAGTGTTTGACTTCCATTCTCAATAACATGCTCTTTAACAGTGGGTCTAATCTGTTTAAAATCACTCCAGTTCCTGTTTCGCTTGCGTCTGTACCTGAGATGTACTTATCCGCGATCATCATAGTGTTCGGCAGTGTTATCAAGAGTGCTGAATATACTGCGTCTTTTGCAGGAATTAAAGTGTTGTTGCAACTTCCCAAACACTCGAAGTGCACATTTTGATCTGTTAAAAGCGTTTGCCGGCTAGCTATTTGGGTATAGTTTTTTTCGAAGTGCCTGTAGTAGCCCCCTAGACCAAGAAAGTTATGTATTTAATCCGTGGGACTGGCACAGGCCAGTTCTTTAAGGCAGGCTCTTTTTTCGGATCACTGCGAATACTGTCAGGCCCGATCATGAGACGCGAAAAAAGTTGTTCCTTTACGCAATATGTTGCATTTGCTAGGTTGAACATCCAACCCATCATCACTATGTGTCAGTAGCACTAGCTGAAGACGGTGAAGATGTTATTCGACCTGGTTGCTGAGATCACTGTTATCGTCTAGGCAAATCATGTACACCTTCAAGACTAGATCCTTCAGGACTAACTGCATGGAACTTTGAAAGATCGCAAGGCTATTGGTCATCCTGTGAGGCGTTGTTCGTAAGGCGCATAACCTGGTTGGAATGACAGGCACCGTCTTGACTTTGTCCTTTGAATGTGCCTCAGCCTGTTAGCAGCCTAACGCTTAGTCTGAAGCTGAAAATCATAAAGTGTTCGCTAATGCCTCCAAGGTTTCTTTAATGCATGGCAAAAGGAATGAACCCTTACGAGTGACCACATTTAGCTTCATATAATCAGCATAGTCTTACCGTTCTATTATTCTTTCTGCTGAGGACTATTAGAAATCCCCTTGGAGGATGTGATGGTGTAGTAATTCCCTTATCTTGCATATCCTTTATCACATGTTGCAACCCAGATCGAAATTGAAACGAGATTATACGGTGCCCTTGTATAACGGACGTGGCACTTCTTGTGTAGATCTAATGCTTTAGCGGTTTAGTCCTTCCTACTTCTGCCTATCTTCGCACAATAACCTTAGAATTCGCCTCCCGTAACTTACAATCTTTGCTTCAGCAACCGCTCGGCGATCCTGACAACAACCGCTCCATCAAGGAGTTAGCAATCATGTTGATAATTTGATGTAGAGCAGTGCTCAATTTTCGTTCCTCAAATTTAAACTGAGTACTGAAAACTTCGTTGTCGGGCTTACCTTATCTGTAATAATTTTCCTTCGAAGAATACGGGCAAATAAGAACGAAAAGTTCCAATTCAATAATCCTTCCTGTATAAAATGGCTGGGGGTTATAATCAGGTCCAGGAAACTCAATAAGCCTGGGAAGAGCTCTGATGAAGAACCACCTACCACCCAATAAAACACTCAGTAACTTCCACACCGTAGCCTCAAGCATTGTGCCTAAAATTCTTTCAAAACTGCCACAATCAGAATTACTCAAACTGATTTGCTAAGAATTCGCGAAATACTTCATTTCAAGGCAGCTAAATACATATTAGCACAACCGAAAGTATTACATCTCCAGCTCGTAATAAGCGCGCAATAAGTACGAAGAAATCATCAACTGGTACAAATACCAGGACCGCGACAGCCTAAATGGGAATTTAGATTCCTGCTCATCTCGCACATCTCCCTAAATCCATCATGTGTCTGTCCGAGTGCGTATTGGGTATAGTTTCTTTATGATTCAAAATATACTCATTAGTATTAGAATTTACTGCAAAAATCGGAACAGACTCACATAATTCCTGGGGTTGTATACAATCGCCGTGTCGGTTGCGTATCGAAACCACTATCTAGAATTCAAAGTACAGATTTCTCAACACTATCATCCACCACGAAATAATTTTGGGTCTTTATATCCCCAAGTTATGAATGATATGACTTCATTTAAAACATATTTCTAACACTGACTAGAGTAAATATTAGGAGTGACTTCGTGATAAGAATAAATAGCAGTTGATATGAAATCATCCGAATTGTAATCAAACTCGAGCTCATTTAGTACTTGTGCTTCGCATTGAACAAGTTTCCCACAAGAAACAAGTGCATTATGAGGGCAAATAATATTTGGTATGACATCAAGATTTGATTCTTCTAAAATAGATTCCTCAACTTTATCAAGAATGTAATTGCAGAGTAAAGGATCATTAGAAAATTCAGCATCCATCAAAACTACATCAGTTTTTCGATCATAACTACGTTCATTCAACATATTTTCCTTTGATTTGCAAGAAATTTCGTCAGAAATAAGTAAATCACCAGGAAAAACCATATCTGGTACAATAACATGAGAAATCTGATACGTCGATTGATTAAAAACTGTTGTCTCTCAAAAATTCTGAGTTTCATTTAACTCTGAACTAGTATATGACTCTACACTGTCTTTTGAAATCGTTGATAAAGATAAATGATCATTAGGAACACTTAACGTAATAGAATCGGAATTACAAGACTTAATATTAGTTGCAGCAAGATGAACAGTAGTATTACAAACTGACTGAATATTGTGGTCGAATTGGGATTACCAATTGTAGCGTGGTGTCAAGTCGAGATTAACTATGAACACCGCTACCAAGAAACACGTGCCAAATTAATCAGAAGGCGTAAGAAGCTCGTTCCAAATGACTCCATAAAATCCCCGAGAAGCCAAATATCAGAAGACAGTTAATGGACCAAGTCGAGGTTTATTAGCTGGCGATCTCGTGGCATCGAAAGGATACCGAGATCGTCCCAGGATACGATCGTGGTTACAGAAGGTAACCGAATTCGCGCGAAGTTACAATCAAAGTGTAAGTGAAAGAATGGAAGCAGACAATAGCTGTCATTAGCACAGTCAAACAAAAGCACGTTAAAACAAACACTGGTACAGTTGGTTATAATAATAATTGTTTTTATTAAACCAGTCGTGTTCTCGTGATAAACGTGAGTCACTACAATATGTTCAATATCACCACATTTAAAGCATTTAGAATTACGAGGTGCACATGAATTACATAGGTGAGACTTGCCACATGACAAACATTTATCAAATTTGTGCCCATCTTCGTAAACTGTATTGCAACTCCTCAATGAATTGTTATCTGCATAACCTTGAGTATGCACTGGATTGAGATTATGTGATGTGGTAGAATTTTTGATGTAATGATGAGTCATTTTACGAAATTTCCCTCCTTTACTGCAATCAAAATTTGAATACTCAACACAGTCCAGTAGTAGTTCCTTGAGATTTGTATAAGGAAGCGAAATGGGCTTATCCGGTAAAGCC